ATGACCATATTGGTCCCTTCTGACCTTAAAGTCTATGAGTCTATGAGAGAGGGAATGACTCAGTAGTCTAGTGGTTAGGGCAGAGAGGTAGGAGACTCCAATTCCAGTTCTCCTACTCCAATCACTATTTTCATTATTTATGTTCGGGAGACTGGCACCTGTCACTTTTGTTAAATTCTTCAGGATTACCCACATAATTCTGGGTAAGCAGCAATTTATGCTACCTCCCTATTCAATCTTTCTTCCTGTCACACAACATGCTGCAGAAAGGACAGACAGTTAAAAAGGAGCCTGGACTGACAAACTGCAGTGATAAGCACAGAATAACTAATTGGTGGTGAAAGATTATGATTAGGCACCTGTAAGGGGTCAGTTAGATCCCTCTGGAGCAGGGCTTTAAGGGTTAATACTGCTTCAATTGACAGAAGATATTACTTGATGTAAGGCCCCATTCGACATTACCAAAATATCTGGTCCTCCCATGTTATGCCAGAAAGCCCAGTTATCCACCATCATTATAGTCTGAATCATGCTTCCAACATGCACTCAGGCAAGAAAGAGTACAGAATGTTTAACATGATTTGGATACAGCGCCAGATTTCATAAATGTTTAGACACTTTTTGTAGTGTAACAGGACCGAACGTTAAACATTTTGCCATCCCCTATCTATGTCAACATGCCTCAGGCTTGACCCACTCACCCCTTGCTTCCCACCTCCCTCTCTGAATCAATTCTGCCATGAGCTGCAGCACCCCGGTATGCCAAGTTTTAGGCCACACACGCATATCTGCCAATGCTCCTCAGTTCTGACATGCAGCATGTGGACTGCTTAGCTGTGCCTCTCCTTTGAATGGAAATTTGTGAGCTGCCAAGGCTTTAGTCAGGTGGAAGGGCCAGCCCCTCTTGCTGGAGAATGGTAATCATTAACATAATTAGTGTTGTTAAGTACACTGTCAGAACAAACAGGAGGAGGATAGGCACACAGCTATGCTCCCTGCTCCTAGGACAGACCGACCACTGCAATCAAAATGGGCCAGACTGAACAGTTAGGAGAAATGGGATACCCTGGAACAGTGACTCCACACAGACATTTCAATCTGGATTGGGCTGGTACCCTAGGTTTAACTTGGGCATGAGCCTGGGTCTTGGACTCGATATGGCAGCACATCTCATTTATTTCTGCCCCTCTTGCCCAGCCTGAGCATGGGTTGCGCCAAAACCTCCAGAGATGAAGGGAAGGAGGGAGCATGGAGTGGTAGACCAGTGCATGAAAGGGTTGGGAGCTATTACCCTACAGCAACAGTACAGCGCCCCACCTGATTTCAATCTGAGAAACATTTCCCCACCCTACCCCCAATAGCATGTTTCCTGAAAGCATCCTTGGGGTGCCACATGGGATTTGCTGTGGCAGTGCCCTGTGTGTTCCTAGAGGTAGTATGCCTCACTTTTAGAGGCACTTCAGCAGGCATTGGCCAGCTGTGGATGTAGACAAGGGGTGGGGGTGAACACGGCAACATGTCCACAAAACACCATCTTATTTTGCTTAAGGATTCACCAGCACATTGGCCCCTTGAGCAGAGCACTGAACTGGAGCCTGTACCCTTCTGTTTTAAGGCTGGTTCCCAAAATTCCACTGTGGCTCTGAGCATCCAGGAAAAGTAGCCCTTCCTCACAGGGTGAGATGAAGCCAGACTCTGTAAGGGGGAAGTGCAAGGTGTCACTGAGAAGTGAGTGGGGGAGACACATTTTCCAACCATCCTACTGGTTAAGCACCCATCCCCACAGATAGAGCTGTCCAGCAGCCTGTTTCCACATTACAACGGTATGGGCATTTCCTGAACAGCCTGCCATGAAGGGAAGTATCCACAGCATCTCACAGGAAAGGAGACACACACTCATCCCCCATAGAGTCAATGAGCCATAGGGGGATACACTGCAGACCAGACAGAATGTTAGAGTGATGGATTCACTGCATATGAGGCCCTCAACACCACTGACAGGTTGCATTTTCATTAGTGATGCAAGTATTAATTATTCCAGGGCTTATTCCTCTTCCCTGCAGGCACAGGGGATGGGGAAGGTGATCGTGCATTTCACTCCCTCCTCAACAAGAGTGACAGTAGCAAAATACACAGAAGTTACAAAACCAGAAATCCTTCCTTTACCAGAGGCAGGGGCCTTTCCATTCCAATACCTTCCCCTCCTTCAAGCCCAGGGGCTTTGTGCTGGCTTGAGACCTTCAGCATAGAAGAGGAAGAGGCACTGTGGATAAAATGCCCCACCTGTCTGTCAGTCCAAAGGATTCCATGCAAAGCCTGAGCTCTGCTTGGCCTCACTCGCTCCACCCCTCACCATGTCACAGCAGGAGCCTTCCCAAGCACCCTGCAGCACCTTCCCATCAACTGGCAGATCTGTTCTCTTAAAAACTTGTTTTGTTGAATTAAAAAGTGCTCTTCCCAAGACAGGCAGGTGACTCGTCTGACCCCCAGGATACAGCTCAGGAATAGGCCTGATAGAAGTACCTTGGAAGACCAGCCCTCCACTCCCACTTCCCCTTCCCCATGTTGAGCTTGCTACAGGTGGATCCTGGTTTCAAGTGTGGCCAGCGAGGAGCCGATGGAGCCAGGCACACAAGGTGTGCCTCTCTTCACACCCGGATTTGATAACCATTGAGGTCTGGCATGGCTTTGGATTCGGCAGGCTTCTTTTCACCAGACAGCCTGTGAAGAAAAAGGGAAGTAGATATTCAGAGGCATTCTCAATTTCTCCTCTGACAGGGTAACCCATACAGATTGAGAAGTGCCAACATGAGAAGAGGAGTTTCATCCCCTTCACCAGATCCCATACTGCTAGAGTGACGGGGTGGCTCTTCTTCACCCCGCTAACTCCCAAAAGAGTCTGGAATACAGAGTGGGAAGCCCAGCACCTTCACTTGAGATACTTTCCTGGGAAGATGGATTTGGGGTAGGCCTGGAAGCAGCCTCAAAGGCACACCAGTTCTCACTGACCAATGATGTAGGTTCAGACGTCTCTTTTGGGGGTCATGTGTGTGACCCACCCCACATTAGGCACTAGATGGGGTGACCCTCCTCTATCTGCAGCCCGCCGCTAATTCCAGCTATAGTTTGAAAGTGGGAAGGCAGCAACTCATGTAGAGAAAGCAATGAGAGCTGAAAGGGAGAGACACTGGAGGTGCGGGGGACCACACCAATGCAGCTGAGAGACATCTCCCCAGTTATGGACCATGCCAAGAGAGTTCTCAGAAATCTACTTTATCCAAGGGTGTGAGGGGATGGAGGGGAAATCCTATAGCACGACTGAGAAAGATCCTCCAAACAAGCCATCCACCAACCCCACTCACCGCCTCTCCCCACGGCTGTTGCGGCGGTGCGGACTGGACTGGACCCGCTGTGGGGAGGACACATCTTTCTTCCTATCCTTCGTGGGAGATGGTGGCCCTGTTCCTTTGCCGATCTGCAGGAGGAAAACAACAAGGTGGGAGAGAAGCCAGGGCTAGCAGTGGCTGGGGAACACAATGCCCAAGGTACTTCATTGGGAAGGAGTGACAGTGAAATGAAGAAAATTAAAAGCAAAAAAGAGAAGGCAGTGATGAGCATTATGTAGCTTTACTATACTGTACCCTGCCTTTAGAGAGTCTCAAGCACACCCTTCCACCCAAAACTTCTGAGCAAGTATGTATCTTGGCTCATCTGTCCAATGCCCAACAGGCATACCTGAAGGGACAGGATTCATATTCCCAGCTCTTGGGCAAGAGCTGTACCTTGATACACAGCATCTACACCTGCCAAATGAAGAGGGGTCTGCACCCCATTGGGGTCAGGGTCTTCAGAAAGGAGAGGAGAATCCTTACCCCCTTCCTCCACCTCCCTGCCTTCCCCCACCCCCACCTCAACCCAGCAGGATCTGTATCTCCCAGCATACTAGCGCCAGGATCCAATTAAACTCCAAGGCTTTGGCACCAAGAACAAAATTCACACCTGCAGCCTCCAAGAGCAGCAGGCAGGTCTCCCAAGTACTTCCCAGCTTCTCACCTTTAGCCTCATGTCCCGGGCATGTCTCTCGAGCTCCTTGCGGAAGTCCTCACGGCCCAGCTTTTCCACGTCCAAAATGGAGTGCTTCCACTCAATCTGCTCCACACTGTGTGGGTCATGGGACACACAATGGCCCAGCTTCACCTTTTTGAGGACGTGCCAGCAGCGGTGGTATGCCTCCTCGTAGTTGAAGATCAGCTCGCTCAGTGTGCGGAAGGTGGGCGCCTTGTACATGAGCTCCTCTCGCCGGCTGATGCCCAGTGCCCCATAGCGCCCCCCAAAGTTCACCCCCAGCACAATGTGGCGGAAGTAGTTCCCTGAGAAGTGAGTTTTGAAGCTGATGGGGAAACGCTCCAGTGTGGGCATGTTGTTGGTGAGGTAACTGGCAATGTCACCCCATTCAGGAAATAACTGGTGATGCCAAGGAAAGGAGTAAGATTCTTCCTCCCCATCCCCCAAAACATCTCAGCCAGCCTAGACTGGAAAGCAGATTCACTGCTGACGACAAGTACCTGATTGACATCCCTGGAGACCAAATCCTGTCTATCCCCAGATCAGGTATAGCTCCAGCCCCCCACGAGACAAGTCTACCCTGCCCTGGGATCAGAGGGATGCTCAGTCTTCACCTTCTCCAACAAGGCTGCCCACAAAGGGAAGTTATAATGGCAGTTTTGTGGTGTGTACACCTGTCCTGCTAGGAGCTGGGAGGACCAGGGCCACCATCTCATTTCACACAGAGGCCACCAGGCAAGTTAGTTAAATTGACCATCACTATCAGCCTAGGAGGAATTGGACCTGGTGCCCTACAGGTAAAACATAACCCATTGTCCTGAGCCATCGAGATCCCCAGACTGGCATTTCATAAAAGCACTGCCTCTGAAGACAACTAACTTTCCAAAACACACAGGCCAATTAACCTAGCTTTCAAATACTTCCCCATCACTGAAGCAACTCCAATAAATAAAGAAACGTGGGCCCAGGTGGACTCAGCCTGGCAGGTCCCAGAGGAGATGTGCTTCCCAGGACGTGTGTACACAGAGGGGCTGGCACAAGTCTGGGACTAAAAGCAAGCATTATTCAAGGGAAAGTCTGACAGGATCCCTTCCATGTCTGCCTGCACTGCAAAGAAAGTGCAAGATGACATATAGTGAGTGAAACATACCCACTATGCAACGGGGTTTCTAACCTGACACTATTTCCTTCCTGTTTAATCCCCACATCCTTCTTCTCTCCCTCTCCCCGTTATGTCCAAAAGGAATAAACACTCAATCCTAAAGCGGGGGAGAGAAGTGACCCTGAAGAACTAACTCCGCTACTCGGGTTCTCTGCTTGGTCCCTTGCAATGCACCAGCAGCATGAGAGGGGCATAAGGAAGCAGGGGGAGTAGAGCCCTGAGCAGATACAAAGTTTGTATCTGCAGCCAATCCATGATCCGCAAACATGCTCAACAGATATCCGCATCTGATATAAAGTGGATATCCCCAGATTTGCAGCGCTCTACAGGGGGAGAACGCATTAGGGTGGGCACACATGCATGTTTCTAAGAGGAAAGGATACATTCCCAGGATCACAGCTTCCAGGCATTTGATTGGCAGGGCCTCTTTGGTCATTTCTTTGGCCAGGTCCATCAGCCTGTTAGACAGCACAAGGGGGAGAGACAGAGGACGAGAATTAAAGGAGTTTGCATTGAGCAGGACTGGTGAATTTAGTCGCTGGGCGGCATATATGCAGGGCAGGTTGCAAGGAGAGAGGAAGACTATTAAGGCAGACAGGAGAGGAGAAAACCCTTTAGGAATAAATTAAATTCAAACTCAGTCTTTTGCCATTCCCCTCCAACACTGCTGCTGTGGAGTTTCCCCTCACTGAGCCAAACAGGCTCTACCCTCTATGCCAGACACTACTCTCAGCAAGTCTGGAGTCATTCCCTTTCATCTCAATGGGTATAAATCCAGAGGAACTGCATCTAACCAAGATAAGAAGCCTCAGGCAGGAGGCCGAGTTCCAGAGACACTTGCTTTCCCACATCTGAGGGCAGGGAAGGGGCCTGCAGCAGATTCTGCCCTGGTTACATCATAAAATGTTTGGAATGCCCAAATATCCACCCATACCTGATGGCTTGGGCCAGCAGTATTAATGTTGGCACAATGGTTTGGTTAGCAGACTAAGAGGTCCCTAGCTGTATATGTGGAATCCAGGTGCACGAAGATGATTGACTTCATTCTGTGTACATACCTGGGGGTTTACAAGGCTCAGCAGTCTGGGGGTGTCCACCACCATCACCACCTCCTTCCTCCCCCACATATTTATTTTTCCTTTATAAAGTTTCAGTCACCAAAAAAGAGTCTAGCAAGTCCACATTCTGCACCAAACGCACTCCAGGACACTGGACAGCAAGAATTGCAGAGACGTTTGGCCTTTGGGGAGCTTGTTTAAGGCAGGGCTGTGTTTTACTTCACACAAAATCCCCGAAGCCCATGATCTAGATTATAAATTAGATGTGCTCAGAGACTGGGCACCTCTGGCTAACAGATAGTTTACTGACTCTTGGCAACAAATCCAGCCCTCGTGCTTGAATAAGGCTAAATTATGGCTCTGAACAACTGCACCCTGAGCACAGTCCAACCTCCTTAGGAAGGACAGAACTGTGACACTGAACAAAATCCCCAGAGTCCAGCCTGTACTCTTGGCTAGACTCAGTACAGGGGTAGCAGGCATCAGATGTGGCAAGTTCCCCAAACAGGAAGGCAGGAGCGTGGGAAAGGCTGACAGCACTTACCCGGTCAGAGGTCTGCTCTTCTTAATTTCAAAGAACTGCGTCCCAGTATGATTGTACCTGGAGGAAAAAGGTTAAGGGGCCATGCAGACTGGAAGAGAGCTGAGAAGCCAGAGTTGCCCACATACTGCAATCTGCCTGGAGGAATCTCTTTGTACCATCAAGGTATCAGTTATTCTCACAGGGACCTCAGGATCCAGCAAGCAAAATACCAGCAAAGAGAAAGTGGGCGTTTCCATTTGGCTATTCCTCCCACTTGCATTCTGTGGCTTGGGGGAGGAAGGAAACAGAGTGGCAATCTATTTCCCTCCCTATTCCTGCTGACAGCACATTTTCTGGTCAGCCTCCTCTCCAGCAGCACAGGCTCCCAGACCTGAACAGGGTTGAAACAAGTCCTCTCTTGCTGCTGCCTGCAGGGGATCATGACCAGTCTAATGATGCCAAAACTACCTTGCTTTCATGCTGGCTGGTATCTATCCCTAAAACAGCACAACCCCAGGATTAGCAAAAAGGTGCTGGCAGACTCCCTTCCCACCTTGAGTCAGCTCCATATCTAGGGCCGTCCCTAGCCATTTTGGTGCCCTACACAGCCCCCCCGTGTGTGTGTGTGGGGGGGAAGGGTTGGCCCCAGGCCTCCGCGGGGGGAGGGGGAGGGTCAGGCTTGGGGATAGGGGGGAACCTCCCCCCAGCACAACACGGCAGAGTGGGTTGGGGTTGGGTCACTCCACTTCCTGCCACCCGGTGAGTGCAGAGCGGGCCCAACCCCACACTCACGGGGCGGCGGGAAGTGGAGTGACCCGGCCCCAGCCCGCTCTGCTCTGCTCCCCTGGCTCACAGCCTTGGGGTGTAGGGGGGAACCATCCCTCTGCATTCACCGGCGGCGCAGCTGGGAGCTGGCAGCGTGGAGCAGGCTGGGGCCGGGTCGCTCCACTCACCACCACATGGTGAGTGCAGGCTCGAACCCTGCTGCAGGGTAGAGTGGGGGCGGGGCTGGGGTGGAGCAGGGGTGGGAAGAGGCAGAGCAGGGGTGGGAAGAGGCAGAGCAGGGGCGGGAGCAGCATGCAGCTGCATAGGGCACCAGGAAATTTGGCTGCGTACTTTGTGTATGGGTAGGGACACCCCTGTCCATATCCCATCAGCAAGATAAAAATGCACTTGTGTTGCACATGCCCTCATCCTCACTCCATCCCAGCACACAGAGCCCAAGGGTATGTAGGAGTCTTGTTCCCAGGCCATAAACATACAGGCAGCTATACATGGTTGGGAGTTGGTCATCCACCTGACTCTCAAAAGCAGGAGTTACTATCATGTTCTGGCCACCTAGAGCAGAAAGCACCCAGTAAAATGACTCAGCATGAAGCTCAAATTCCCCACCACCAGCACACCCAAACTTGGCAGGGGAGATTAGCATCTTCTAATCCCAGGTTTTAATCTGTCCCAGGCCCTCCCTGCAGGGTTAGGCAAGCACAACAACTACAAGGGCCTTCAATTAGGATGTTTTAAAAGGAACAACTACTTGAATTCAAGATGTCGGGCTTAAAGAAAACCTACCACACATTAGCTTGGCCCTGCTGACACACATGCTGCTGTGACGAAGGGGTTAACCACAGGAGACACAATTGGGCAGGATTAGAATAAAACAGCAAAACCACTCACTGTCACAACTTCAGTTTCCTGCTTTTAGGGAACAAGTTTCATTTCCCCTTCTGGCTGAAGCAGAGTCAGCTGTTCTCTTATGGTTGGCTATTGGAAGGTCTCCTTGCTTCCCCTTCCTGGATCATCATTCCTTGGTGTCTGTGATAATAGTAAAGGATACTGAAGCTCCTTGATGTAGCGTTGTATGGCTTCCAGGCGCTCAGGGATGGGGGTGGACGGCTGGAGCGCAGGCACACTCGGTATGGGAATCTGAACAGGGGAAAGCAGAGTGAGTCAGAGAGCAGACATCTTCTGAACCTGCTAGTCCCTTTGCTGAATGCACTGGCACATCACCATAGGAATTGCATTCCTCTGTAACCCAAGGAGCTAATCCCTTTTTGCTGTCCACCCGAGATATTCCTTGAGTTAACAGTCACTTCAGTCTTCTATCCGCAAGTTGACAAACTGGAGGGGATTCAGAGAAGAGTGACCGTTATCAGGGAGATGGGAGGACTGTTTTTTAAAATGAAAAACTAAAAGAAAAAAGTCTGTAGAATTTAGTTAAGTGGCAACCAAGGAGGGACACAAAATAGTCTACAAACATCTAAAGAGCATAAATACAAAGGAGAAAGAGGAGCTCAGGACGGTACATGCGTCTAAGATGGAGGCATAGAATGAAAGTGTAGCCAAGTTCAGTAAGAATGCTGCAACAGCAAGAAGTATCAGGGCATGGAACAGACTCACAAGGGAAGAGGTGAAAGCCCCACCTCTTGGCACTGTGAAAACTAGAAACGAATTGGGAATGAATTTGCACTGGCAGGGAGATGGACTGGATAAGGCAATAGGGTTTTTCCATCTCTAACTTCTATGACTTTCAGTTACACAACTGTGGCTATTACCCAGACTATTGCCTTGATTCTGCAGTCTTGGCCTCGTGGGTCCAGCCAAACCTTCCTTTCTGTTTACTCATAAGGTCAACATCTGCAGCTTTGACAGCTGATAAGAGTTATCCTAAGAAAGGAGAAGAGTCCTGTCTGCCCAGCCAAAACAAAAAATAAGGCTGGACTCACAAACAGGGCCAAGGAAACACTTGGTCAATGAAAGACAATGGAAAAACAGATTTGGTGTGACTATGACAGGGAGAACTTTGTGCCAGAACTTCCCCAAGCCTACTAAGGAAGGTTAATGCCCTCTGCACGTGGATCCAACACCAAAGCCACAACTCTCAGTGTCAGTGCGGTTTTGTCAGTTCCGTTCTTCAGGGAACATGCAGTAACCCTCCCCTTGTATAATAAAGTTAAACGGAGACAGAGCCCTTTCATTGTATTTGGTGGTGTCTGCCTATTTAGATGCAAGCATCTCAGGAGAGAGGCTGTTTGTTTTGTGCAACTCCAACCACAGCAGTATTTACACAACAGCAGGCAGCTGTAAGAAGTTCTAGGTCTTGATTTTCTCTTGAGTATTTTGATCTTTCTTATTGTCTTAAGATTTTCCCCATAAGTCAGTTTGATGAAGATGCATTTTGTGACTGGTGTCCATTTTCCAGCACCTCTCAGGGAGACGAGCTGTGACTAGACATAAGAACCAACAAAGTGTGCCAGCTGTTGTTTCCAGTAACCTTTGTGAGCAAATACCTCACTTCAGTCCCCTGCTGGGAACATGCAGAAATAGGAGCTCCTTCTATCGCAACCTCTCCCAGCAGGAGGCACTGCAAGGGAGAGGAAGAAGAGATAAAAGATCCCCAACAGTTTGAGCTCCTATCCCCAGGGGAACAGGAAGCCCCCTCGAGAATGATGCAGGGAATTTGGCCATCTCTGAAACTAATGCACGCTAAGTTGGTTTAGAAGCTATGAGATAACATACTGAGTCACAGGTTATTATTCCGAAGCAGAACCAATGAAAGTGGTAAAACCAGGGCAGGCTCAGCATTTAGCCTTAATTCATTTCTTCAGTGAGTGACTTCTGTGCAATGTTTGTGAAGAGACAAACAGCTAAAATTAACTCCCTGGGTTCTGGTTAGATACACATTATCAGCATAAGTTACTGGTTCCTTTTAGTTTCTCCTCTCTGCTGCTGGAAACCGCTCCTCGCTGTCAGATCCCCCCACCGTCACTGACGAGCTACAAATCTGCTTGTTTCCACCTTTATATCTCTGCCATTTAGAATGCAAAACCTTTACAAATGCATAGACAGACCTGCTCCCTGCCTTCCTCCCATACCACCCATGGAGCCACTGATGCTACATCAGCTCTGCAGACAGACACCACCACCTCTTCTACCAAAAGCAGCAAGGCCTATGTAGCCCCCCCACAGATTAGCAATAGGCATACTCCAATCTCAGCCCACCCCTCCCTCTCCCCCAACATCTCCCTGGAGTGTTCAACCCCTGATCTATTGGGCACTCACAGTAGGCACAGATTTGTTGGCTCCAGAGAAACAGTACATCACAACTTACCAGCTCCACCTCAGATCACTGCTCTGCTTAACACGCAGCATTTAAATAGGTTTAGTGAAATTAAGTATAAAATTTATTTACACACCAGCATAGATATTCAAGTAATAGCAAGTATTGGAAACAAATGGTTACATATAAAATTAAATCATAACATATTCTAGAACATAGACTTAAAACTAGATACTCATGTCTTGTTAAGCAATGTTCACCCAAAGTCCAAACAGCCCTTTACAGCTGTTTGGCTGTGATCCTTCTTCCAGGAGACCAACACCGTGAGCTTGTCTCCTACATGAAGGATCCAGAGTGTTACTTTGCTTCCCAAGATATACAAGTCCCATCCTTGGTTCTCATTCATAAACAGGACACCCACCATGCGGTTTTGTTTTTTCTTGTAGCTCTTGCAACCTTTCTACTGGCATCTGGCTCAGTGTGTAACAGACCTCCATTGGGAGGTGGACAATACACATATGACCAGACACAGAGATAAGCGTCTGTTGCCTTGGATGTGTTCCTTTCAGACAGGAGAGTATGTCATCTCCTGGTGACCTGCCTTACCTCCAAGTGCTTAAGAACATCATTTTCAGTACAGATACATAACTTGTTAAATATTATCTGTACATACATTTTATGGTGACTGGTGGGCTCTTGGCTCTCAGTAGAGACCTCACATGCCACACACAGGTGAACTATTATGCATATATCTGACCCTAGGAATCCCTGCAAACCCTATGCACCTCCTCTGCTTGTTGGACCAAGAGGTCACTGTGTCAACACTCATTAGTTCCCCCATCTGTAAAATGGGGATAATTATACTTTATTTCCTTCATAAAGTACTTTGAGATATACACAGAGAGCTATGAAAGCGTTATTAACTAATGAGTTCTGAGGCCTCACTCACTTTGCCACATGAGCACAAATGGGATAAACAATAGGCTTCTAAAGGAAGTAAGAGATGTTTCAGCACTTGCCCCCAACACTGCCTGCAATGGAGGGGCTAGGAGAAGCAAGGCCACAGAGATGGTGCCCTGTTGTGACTTCCACATCACAATGCTCAGTTAAGGCCACAATCTCACCTCAAATCAAACTGCAAGCAAATTACTAAGGTTACCTTGTGGGAAATGCCATTGATCTACTGCAGCTAGAAGAGCCCTGCTTCCTGGCTTGAAGAGGGCCCTGTCACCAGAAAAGTCACAAAAATGCCGTCCTAGTTTGTCACCGCATGCAGTCACAAACCCTTTTCACTACAACATTTCACTCCACTTGGGATAGAAAAACTGGACTAGTTTCCATTTCTCTACTAGTCCAACTCTCCAACTAGGATTGAAAAGGGCCCTTGCATGCAGGTGACAGTCTGGCACAGCCCTGGGAAACAGCAGCATGAAGCAAGAGTTTAGGCAACCTCCTGTAGACAATGCCAGACTACTTACCAGGATGTGCAGCACCAGTGAGCAGTAGTCAGCTCTGCTCTCTGTATTTTGTATTGGGTGATAATGCTGGCCAGCGATGGAACAGCCTCCCCTGCCATGTTAACATGAATTTAACAGGAGCCAACATCTAGATATTTATATGGATAATGAGATCATCTACAGGGCTTCAGGGCTCAAGCCAAATGCAAACTGACAGGAGTTATTAGGAAACTTTCCATTGGCAAGTTATTCCTTTTGTGCCCCCGTACCTTCGTCCATGTATCTACAGGATTCATACAGGAACAGTATGGCATCCTGCCACTGCCTTTCAAGCTGCCATCTTGTGATCTAGAATCTCAGCTTTTTTTTGCCTGCCTGAGTCTGCTATGAGAGAGAACTGCTCTTTTCATCTCACTGAGGTGTTAATTCAGATAAATGATCAACATTGGGTAAGTGTCACTGTTGACTTGATCAGTAGTGACCTAGTTATGTAAGACAGGAAAAGGGGAAACATATTATGAAAATCTACACAGCCTACAGTGAGTGACAGCTCATTTACTTGAGAGTGTAACACCATTTTTTCCCTCCCCCAATCAGGGAGGCAAGGCTAACAAACATAGCAGAGCTCAGCATGCCACTGTGGGAGAGAGAAGCCCCAGAAGATCACATGTACAGGTGTTTAAAAACATCATCACAACATACTGTGATTACATCAGTGTCTCAAGGGGTGGAGCTTATTTTGTTGTCTTCCTAATTCAACCCCTAAGCATCCTGTACTGACCCTCATCCAAAATAGGATTTTGGATTAGCTAGGCCACTGGGCTAATCCTGCTATAGCAACTCCTGCATCCCTCCCAAGGCCCATTCAGCCTCAGGAACCTAATGGGCAACATCAGCCTCTCACAGGAGCCAGCCCTGCAGAGTAAACTTACAAAATATATTTTCCCCTGGAATATATTATTGCCAGGATTCTAATCTGTTGCATCAGTTCTTCAAAGAAACTAGACCCACTTCTGTGCATCTCAATACAAATGGTGCTCAAAGACATGGAAACATCGCTACAGGCAAGGGTGGGCTCTTCTCATTCCCTTGCCCCAATCCTTCCTACCACATTCACCCCTCTGTATTCCCTGTAAGATGCTGAGACTGATGAGCAGTGAGCCCAGATGGCAGAATGTGTTCTGCACCAGCCTCACTGAATACAGTGCACAAACCGGGCTACTACACAATGGTGCTGCAGGTACCAAAAATAGATGCTTGGCTAAGTTTCGGTCAAAGAAACACCCTCAGTGTTGATCCAGACCATGCTTAAGAGAAACAAGGGTTGGAGTTACAGACTAACACGGCTGCTACGCTGAATCAGCAAAAAGAACAAGGAGTCCTTGTGGCACCTTAGAGACTAACACATTTATTTGGGCATAAGCTTTCGTGGGTAAGTCTCGTGATTCAAACAGGGGACTGGACCCCTGAACTCCAACATTTCCTTACTGGCTCTGCCACAGACTTGCTGTGAGAGCCTAGGCAAGTCACTGCATCTGAAGAAGTGGGTTTTTTACCCACGAAAGCTTATGCTCAAATAAATCTGTTAGTCTTTAAGGTGCCACTGGACTCCTTGTTGTTTTTGTGGATACAGACTAACACGGCTACCCCCAGATACTTAATCTTTTTTGACTCAGTTGTCTCTATTTGTAAAAATGGGAATAAAGATATCTATTTCAAAGGACAGTTATAAGACAGTGAATATTTGCAAAGCACTTTCAATCAGAGGATCTAAATATACCCTAGAATTACCACTAGAAGCCATGCATATATAAAAATGGCAACCTCTACAAAGACTCACGAGGCCCACACGCAAAGGACTCAATACAGCATCAATATTAAGTTGCATGATCTTGGGTTCCCCTTTTCATAGGATTCTCAGCAGTACGGCCAGAAAAGACAAGACGTGAGATCATGTAGTCTGATTCCTTGTCGGCAACAAGTTTCCTCTACACAGATTCTACAAGCGTTCTCTAATCTGCTCTTAACTCTGTCAGAGCCACCTTTATAGGCAGGAACCATTCCAGTGCAAAAATTCCCCTTGCTGTGGGGAAGACTGTCCCTCATGTCCAACCTAAGTATTTCCTTTTATAGCCTATAGCTTGTTCCTGGTTATAATTACTCAACTCCCACTCCTGCAGCTTTCCCCCATCTCAAGTATTTAACCAGTCATAAATCCCAGCTTTACTTTCCATTTCTCCAAGATGCACACATTAAGTTTCCTTATTCACCAAACAGGTCCCATCACCTTGTACTTTTACCTGGTTGCCCTTCTGGATTATTTTTAATTACAATCTTTTAAGAACAAAGTGTTCAGATCAATACACAGTGCTCCAGAATGCAGCTGGAGCACTGTCATCCCCTCTTTCAGGCCAGGCAGGCTGCCTCAAAAGCTAAATCCCAATTCTGTACTTGGTCTCAGAATTCTGGCTTTTCCCTGTTTGCTCTAAGGTTACTGGACATGTGGCTTTTTGCATCACCACAAATAGTATCAGAGCAATTAAATGGAAAAACTCTATTAAATCAAAGCTCAAATCCCGAGCAGCCCAAGACAGAGACTCTCCCCCGATATGGAATCCCAATACTTTACACCCTTATAACTGTTTCTGTTGAGTGAAACCCCCACTACAGGATTATTGATCTGAATTTCCATGTTATATAATACAATCCCAGCTTCTCTACCATTCTCTGAGTGGACTGTCTAAAGCCATGTCATTTGATTTATTAGTATCAGTTCTTTCAGGAATTCTCACCTTGGGTAGGTCTGTGGCTCCTCGAATCCTTTGAGCCACCATTTCTCCCTCAGGGTGGATCTTGGCCACGTGTCTCCACATTCTCTCCCAGGTGGGCTCATCAATGGGTAGCCCTCCTCGGTTCACAAAGAAAGGAACTCCACCGTCTCGCAGATCTTCATCACCATCATCTTCGGGCTCCTCCTCTCTCTGAGTTGCCACTTCGCTGGCCTCAGAGCGCTTGGTGGCAGCAGCGCCACTGCCCCCCGTTCTCCCCCCCGGCATCCCAGTCTGCACTTTGGAAATTGATGGATTACAACACTATGCCCACCACCCCCCTCAGCCTGCCAGAGACAGAGCAGCACATGGCAGCCTGAGTGCAGAGGCCCTTTAAGGAAAAAAGGGTGTGGCTCATTCACATAAGAACAGTGCAGAATCAAGGTATATTTTACCCAACAAGAGGTTGTTTCCTCAGGTCAAACCAGAAGGAAGAGTCAAGGCAGGGCCCAGATAAAACAAACGAAGTGGCCTGGAAACATACCATAGATTCTCTTTTTTTTTTTTTTTTTTGGTTCACCCTCGATCGAGCAGGCAGAACCGGACAGGCGCAGAACAATGGAAAGGTCCAGTTATAAAACAGCAAGGACAGCAGGAGGCTGTATATTCAGATCAGGCCACCCCCCCACAAAAAAGAGGTTCCACTGACCTAGCAAGAGATTGCCAGTTACAATCAGTAGGAGCAGATCGGTGAAGTACTACACCCAAGCAGAGCTAAGGGGCAGGGGCAGAGCACACACCTGACTGACAACAGGCTCATACCACCTCCAAATATTTGTCTCGGTGAAGGAAAATTAACCTGATAGAGACGTTGCCTGCCAGACACCGGGGAAACTGCAGCCACCCTTAGACCATAAGACCATTAGACCCAAACAAAAGCGAATGGCCGCAAAATAAGGCAATAAGCCCCCTAGGCTTTGTTCGCTCCAGGAGCAAGCCGGCCCAGGGGCAGTTCTGGATACCCGCCTCCAATGCCATCGCCGCTTTCAGGCCAAGCTCCTGCTGAGCTCAGGAGGGGTCACAATGCAACAGGGGCCGGCGAGGCTCAGGCTCCGGCCCCCCTGCCGGGGGAGGAGGAAGCTGCTGCCAGCTGCTGGAGCCGGAGAGCGGAGGAAGCGCAGTCCTGGGGGTGGCTCTTGGTGAGGTTGCCGGGCAGGAGGCTACAGAGGCCGGGGGACAGGAGACAAAGGCCCGGCGTCCCCTGGCTGCCGCTGCGAGGAGAACCGGCTGGGCAGGGGGCTGCGGCAGCTGCTGCATGCGGAGTAACAAAGCCCCCGTCCGAGGCCGTCCCGGGACCGCTGATGTCGCGGCTGGAGCCCAAGCGACACCTCCGCTCCGGCTGCCCCAGGCGCGCGCTGAGCTCACACGCCCGCGGGCTGCATCGAGCGCTGCCGCCGGCTCCGCTCCATGCCCGGAGTCAGAGAGACGCTCCCGGCGCATGCGCCCCTCCCCCAGGCGGCCCCGCCCGGTTAAAGGGACAAGAGAGACCCCAGCCGGGCAGCCTGAGCCTGCCGGGCTCGGGGAGGGGCGGGCGGAGCGGACCTGGGAGGTAGGAAAGGGGAGTCTCTTCTCCGGCTCTGTCCGGAGCGTCCCGCAGCCCCCGGGTGCCCCGGAGCGGAGCGGAACGTCCCTGCCTGACTGAGAGCGACGCGCGGTTCTCCCTCCCTCGCCTGCCCTCGCTACCGGCTGCTGCTGCCGCTTAAGGCTACTACAGCACAAGAGCCGCGCTGAGGCAGCTGGCTAGTGCTGCTGCACCGGAGGAGGGGAGGAGGCGGCACACACATCATTGGCAGCCCTCCCCTCCCCGGCACCCACCAGGAGGAGACTCCGAGGGGAGGGGGCGTCGGGCCGGGAGACATCTGGAGTAACCTCACTCACCTGAGCAGCCCCTGGGGCTTCGGTGAATGTCTGACCCTGTGATCCACACCCCCCACCCCCGCAGTCATCGCTCCTGCCCCATGCTGGGCCAGGGGCAACCCCATCCCCCATGAGGCTAGGACGAGGGGCAGCAGGCTGTAGCAGGGGAGGAAGGAAGCCACATGTAATGGCAGTCCCCTCCCCCCCCAGCACCCACCCACCACAGGGGAGGCGAGGGGGGAGGCTTCCTGGACCTGAGCAGCTGGGGCTTGAGTGAGTGTTGTGACACCCTGCCCCCCCCACAGCCACCACTTCTCCCCCATTCCCCACCCCCAGTGAAGCTATGGTGAGGGGCAGCAGCAGGAGAGGAGGCCACATGTGATGGCCGCTCCCCCTGGCACCCACCATAGGGAGGCGAGTGGGCTTCCTGGACCTGAGAGGGGCCCTAGGAGCATATGCAGTGATAGTGTTGCAGAGTGAGTGTGCTGTGGGGGGGGGGGACCCTCCCCTCCCCTCCCCTCCCCTCCCCTCCCCCAGAGCTCACTGCTGCAGGGGGAGTCCTCTCTGGCCCTAGCCCTGGGGCAGCCTGCCTGCACCCCAAGCTCCTCATCCCCGGCTCTGCCCCACCCTAGAGCCTTTGCTCCCAGAACCCCAGCCCTAAGCCCCCTCCTGCACTGTGAACCCCTTATCCCCAGCCCCACCTCAGAGCCCTCACCTGAGGGGGGAAAAACACGCTACTTAAATTTGGCAGTCAGTTTGGGGTATGATCGTGTTTAGCACAATACTTGATTATTTTACACCCTTTGAAGTATATAATTGGTTGAAGCAGGCGAGTGCTGCTTCTGACTTTCCACTTTTAATTGGCTCTTGTAATCTTGTGGCACCGGCGCATTGTAGCTTCATTTTATCCCAGCAACAAATTCTTGATTTGTAGGATCAGTAATAATCAACAATGGATAAATTTTTAATAAAGTTACCCAGAGAAAAAGAAGAAAAGGGTAATTCATCAAGTGATGGCCTGAGTTCAACACCCAGCTTTCAAACTGAAGTTATACAAAAGAAAGATGCAGCAAATCTACAAGATAAGACACGGAGTTTTCAGCAGTCTTGGCTATCAAGATTTAAGTAGTTGGAGTATAATAGCGAATTAGAGCTTTTTGCTCAGTCTGCAAAAACTGTTCTGAAAAGAAGATCTTAATATTTTCTACAAAGGCCGAACCAATGTTCATTTCATCCGGATTTCAAGATTGGAGACATGCATTGCGTGGTTTTACATCACTTGAAAAATCCCCCAGTCACAAGGAAGCGGTAATGAAATATGCTGCTTTGCAATTTCCAGCAGGACCCTCCACCAGCATAGGGGGGCCCCCCACCCACAGTCACTGCTCTTGTCCAGCATGGGGCAGGGGAGGAGGTGCACATGTGATAGCAGCCCCCCCACCCCAGCACCCACCACAAGGGAGGTGAGGGGTTTCCTGGACCTGAGAGGGGCCCTAGGAGCACGTGCACTGACAGTGGTGTGAGGTGAGTGTGGTGCAGGGGGGAGGTGGGGGCCCCTCCCCTGGAGCTTGCTGCTGCCTGCGGGGAGAGGGCTGCGGGGAGTCCTTCTCTCTGGCCTGCCTGCACCCCAAACTCCTCATCCCCAGCCCTGCCCCACCCCAGAGCCCTCACCCCTGCACCCCAACCCTCTGCCCTACCCCTGAGTCCTCTCCCACACCCCAAACCCTTCATCTCCACCCCACAGTCCTCACCCCTGCACACCAACCCTCTGCCTGATCCCCTCCCACACCCCAAACACCTCATCACCAGCCCCACCCCAGAGCCCTCACATTTTTACATTATTTTTAAAAATATACAGTAACTCCTCGCTTAACGTTGTAGTTATGTTCCTGAAAAATGCTACGGTGTATTTTAAGCAAAATGATGTTAAGTGAATCCAATTTCCCCATAAGAATTAATGTAAATGGAGGTCTGGGGGGTTAGGTTCCAGGGAATTTTTTTTTTTTTTTTTTTGCTGGTGAGAATATGCTTAAGGTTGGCGGGTTGTCTGTGGGCGAGGACTGGCCTGCCTCCCAAGGTCTGTGAAAGTGAGGGATCATTGTCCAGGATGGGTTGTAGATCACTGATGATGCGTTGGAGAAGTTTAAGATGAGGACTGTAGGGGATGGCCAGTGGAGTTCTATTGGTTTCTTTTTTGGGCCTGTCTTGTAGCAGGAGGCTTCTGGGTACACGTCTGGCTCTGTTGATTTGTTTCTTTATTTCCTTATGTGGGTATCGTAGTTTTGAGAATGCTTGGTGAAGATCTTGTAGGTGTTGGTCTCTGTCTGAGGGGTTGGAGCAGATGCGATTGTACCTCAGTGCTTGGCTGTAGATGATGGATCGTGTGGTGTGTCCGGGGTGGAAGCTGGAGGCGTGAAGGTAGGCGTAGCGGTCGGTGGGTTTTCGGTATAGGGTGGTGTTAACGTGGCCATCGCTTATTTGTACAGTGGTGTCTAGGAAGTGGACCTCCCGTGTAGATTGGTCCAGGCTGAGGTTGATGGGGTGGGGTGGAAGCTGTTGAAATCCTGGTGGAATTCTTCCAGGGTCTCCTTCCCATGGGTCCAGATGATGAAGATGTCATCATTGTAGCGTAGGTAGAGAAGGGGCGTGAGTGGACGAGAGCTGAGGAAGCGTTGTTCCAGGTCAGCCATAAAAATGTTGGCATATTGTGGGGCCATGCGGGTGCCCATAGTGGTGCCACTGGTCTGGAGGTATATATTGTCACCACATTTGAAATAATTGTGCGTGAGGATAAAGTCACAGAGCTCAGCAATAAGTTGTGCTGTGTCATCATCAGGGATACTGTTCCTGACAGCTTGTATTCCATCTGTGTGTGGGATGTTTGTGTAGAGAGCCTCTACATCCATGGTGGCTAGGATGGTGTTTTCTAGGAGGTCACCAATGCATTGTAGTTTTCTCAGGAAATCTGTGGTGTCACGGAGATAGCTGGGAGTGCTGGTGGCGTAGGGTCTGAGTAGGGAGTCCACATATCCAGACAGTCCTTCAGTGAGAGTGCCAATGCCCGAGATGATAGGGCGTCCAGGATTTCCAGGTTTGTGGATCTTGGGTAGTAGACAGAATAACCCCGGTCGGGGCTCTAAGGGTATGTTGATTTGTTCCTGTGTTAGTGTAGGGAGTGTCCTGAGTAGATGGTGCAGTTTCTTAGTGTATTCCTCAGTGGGATCTGAGGAAAGTGGCCTGTAGAATTTGGTATTGGAGAGTTGTCTGGCAGCCTCCTTCTGGTAGTCAGACCTGTTCATGATGACAACAGCACCTCCTTTATCAGCCTCTTTGATGATAATGTCAGGGTGGGTTCTGAGGCTGTGGATGGCATTGCGTTCTGCACGACTTAGGTTATGAGGCAAGCGATGTTGTTTTTCCACAATTTCTGCCTGTGCACGTCGGCGGAAGCATTCTATGTATAGGTCCAGACTGTCATTTCGACCCTCAGAAGGAGTCCATGTGGAGTTCTTCTTCCTGTGTTGTTGGTGGGAGGGTATCTGTGTATCAGTGCGCTGTTCAGTGTTATCTTGAAAGTATTCTTTGAGTCGGAGGTGGCGAAAGTAGGCTTCCAGATCACCGCAGAACTGTACCATGTT